ACTTCGTTACGAATTGTTAAGCCGTTCCGACATCGTGGGGTCCATGAATTTCAATGGATTATCGTGAGGAACAACCTTGTTACGAAAAAAAAGAAACTAACAAAAATTGCTGTTCTGCTATTACGAGCAGAAATGGGGTTATGTTATTTGTTTTGGTTGCCACCTGGGCACACTTGTTGCATTATTACCGGTAGCCGCTACACTATCTTGGCGCTGTAAAATTTCTGACGGGTCCGCCTTCACGATCTTGGAAGGAGGTTCAAAAATTACCGCGAGGCCAATTATAATTATTTGATGAATTTGCTGATCCTGGCTAAAATCAACATATCTATGAATTACGTTAAGTCGCCACGAATATTTTATTCAAGAGGATAATAGGAATTCTCTAAGTCAATTGGATTGATTGTTAATTCTAATTAAGTGAAATTTGAACTTGGACTAACTACGTAACTATTCTGGAAGTCGAGGAAAACACATCAGCCAATCAGCGTCGAAGGACAACGGTATAGACCGAGGACGACACTCACGACGTTTCCCCTCTGTTTTCTTGTAATTTTGCGGTTAGAAAAATTGTGAGGGAAGACGAGTCCTATTGTACATCGTGCTGTCAATTAGACCTAGTCGAATTATTGGGAAATTTTAAATCAATTATTGGTAGATTTTAATAGATGCTCCAATAAATTGTTAATTGAAATCGAGGTAAGCTAAACTTTTTAAAAATTAAAAACATGATTCTATGTAAAATATACGAGTTCGGCCAAAAAGTGAAAAATAAAAATTAATTAACTTTGAACATTAGAAAATGAAAAATGGCGAACTCGAGCACATGGCGTGGGACGAATTTTCTCTCGAGTGTTTCGGCAAAATTATTTAAGATAACCTTAATTATTCAATAAAATTTAAATTCAGTAAATTATTTCGGAAATTCATGAGTAAAAATTTGAGAATTTTATTATGAAACTCGCGATTTTTGTTGTCTCAGATAAAAATTTGATTATGTCGCTTCTCGACAAGTTTCATTCCGATTTTTTTTATTTTTTTTCTTGCAGTCATGGAGTATTCATCGGCTATTAAGAGCCGATATTCTTGCTTTAATGAGAATTCATTCAGTAAATTATTCAAATCTTAATTAATTAATGTAAATTAAAATTTGAGTTCATTATGAGTCAATTCTATTAATTAAGCTTTTTTTTGTTGTTAATTATCGTCGCTTATAAATCGAGAGGAATTATAAAAATAAAACTTTGTCTTCAGCAAGAATTTTTATTTGTTAATTCTAAAAATTATAATAAATGAAAATAATTGATTTGATATTAAAATAATGTGTCAAAATTATTATAAACGAAAAATTAATAATCACACACACACACTGACTAGAGGAACCAGGTCTCATTGGAGAATTTTTATGGAATTTTGTTCAGCATTTATTGAGATTTAAAGTAAGATTGGTATGATAAATTTTGGGGATCTATAGTTGAGATTGTTAATAGGTATTTTTGGGTCTTTGAGATATTATTGTTGAAATTAGAAAAATTTTGTGAGCTGCGAGTCGTTCCTCTCTTGGCAGGAGGACATGCAGGTAATTATCGATTTATTTTTTTTATTTCGAAAATTATTACCCTCACACCTTATAGTCACAGACTCATTTTCTGCTATGCACAATACTCTCTATCCTTGATTTTATCTATACTGCTCCTGCGCTGGAGTCCTTACAGACTGCTGGTATTGGTTTTCTATGGGTTCCTTCGCATTCTGGATTTAAAGGCAACCATAGGATAGATAGAGTGTGCAAGGCGGTCGATGTCTCTGTAAACACAGCCTGGTTTACACTTACACAGCTTTGGCCTTTTTCTGACAGAGATCTCTTAAGCCACTGGTATGTTTCGAACATCAGTTTTGACTCACGTAGACCCTGGTTTAAGGATATATCTTTACCAAGAGCTTGGATAAATGCTATCACTAGATTGAGATCAGACCATACATGTACGGTGGAGCACTTCGAAAGAATGAGATAGAACTTGGAGAGGGGTTGTTGATATGGTGCGGACCGAAAGAGCTTGGAGCATCTTCTACATTTCTATTCATTTCTTCAGAGAATATTTCCCAATTTGAACCCAGAGTTGGCCTTCTCAGAGAAACTAATTTTTGAACATAATGAGGAAGTAGTAAGAGAGTTGGGCAGCTACATTTGTTCAAATGGTCAGTTTATCTAGAGCAAAAGCAGGTATGATGTGGCTATGCGTGAGTTAGTGACCTCCAGTGGACGCCTCCTATTTTGGTGCACATTTCATGGACAAGTTCTAACTTCTCTCATATGAACTTAACCCTACTCCTCTTCTCTCTGTTGATAGTTCTGACACTTAGTTCTGCTTGGTCCAGACTGGTCGGTTTGGAAAGACTCCAATACGACGCCTTGAGGATTGCTTCGGGCTGTATGCGGACAACCCCTATTTCGATTGTTCTTTCGGAAGCTGGGGAGCCTACTCTTGAACTTAGACGATCCCTGTTTCTGAATAGAAATTCAATAAGAATTGTCAGTTGGGCAGATAACCCTCTGCTACATAAATTGGAGGCCATTTCGGGAGGGATAGATCTGAGAAGGCAGACTTCAAAGTATCTCTTGGATTTTCCTCTGTTCAAATGTTTGAATCCTATTTCTGATCTAGTTTCTCAACTTAGGGGGCCGCAAAAAACGGCTTATTATGATAGGAAATGGTCGGAGCTGTCATATGACATAGAAAGTTCATTGGACGGGGAGTTCAGGATCAGGGCCGCTGATCGTCCTCAGGAGGCTTTTAATTTGAATATAGTGGATAAATTTAGTCATCACACTCCAATCTATACAGACGGGTCATTTTCTGAGCGAAATAGCTGAGCTGCCTCTAGCTTCTTTGTGCTGACGGCTCAGTTTAGACAGGGCATTAAACTCCAAAGCTACTGCTCATCAATCATGGCCGAGCTGAATGGTATCCATTCAGCTCTCAAATAATCAGTCCTGAGAGGAATTACTCATCCTCTAATCCTAACGGACTCCTTGAGATCTCTCCAGATTGTGAGGGACAGGTTGAGGTCCTCTAAGTCTAGGGTTGTAGTACACGAGATTGTTTCAATAATTATCCACTTATTGTATAATAACCATGATGTTTCAGATTTCAGGTGGGGAAAAAGGCCTTCCTTTCTAAAGAGGATCTTAAAAACGTGGTTGACAATGATTACAGAGCAACTGCCAAGTTGGATTGGCCTTTTTTTCAGGAGTTAGAACATGCCAGCGTTACTTTGATTACATCACTACTAAAACAGAGAGACCTTGGTTTTCTGGCTACGACCTTCCAAGGAAAACAATTAATTTAATTACGAGACTTAGGACGGTGCATCTGGAGGAGCACTTTTCCAGAATGGGCTTGAACATCCCTCCTGCATGCAGATGCGGATATAAGATAAGGTCAGTTCTGCATTATATAAACGATTGCCCTATGTTCGCAGGAAAAAGGGAGGGATTTATGAAATTTTTCTACAATAAATTCAGATCTAGAACAGTTAGAACACAATAAAATCTTCTAATTTTCAGCCCCACAATGGAATCAGCCACTGAGATAGGCAATTTCTTATCGCATGATGATATTATAATCTAAAAAGCCTTTTTTCTTTTTTCTTATCCTTTTCGGAAAACCACGCAAAGGATTGCTTGTTTTTGATCCTTTTTGCTCAATTTTTTGCTTTTGTTTTTTGTTCTTTATTTCTTTTTTTTATTTTTTGTTTGTTTTTTTTTGTTTTTTTGTTTGTTGCCTTGCTTATTTGATTTAGCAAGGATTTAGGCTAAGATATGAGCATCTTATAGCTAATTTAATTAATAAATAAGTTCGGAGTATCAACCTCCATTAATGTCAATACAAAATTAGGGATAAGGAAGAAAGAGACACAAAGCTGAAAGATTCATAAGTCTGGGAAAGGGAGAATGATCAATAATTGAACAATCATTTGTATAAATGAAGGATTTAAATATGATAACTAAAAAACGTTTTCTTTTTTTTTATCTTTATTTATTTTTTGGTCTTGTTTCCTCCTCTTACATACATTTATAAAATATAAATTAGTCAAGCTAAATATAAGAATAAACCTAGAGACTTTATCTTGACTCCTTCCCCTCCAAATCAACCTGTACTAGAAGTACCATGTCTAACTTTATATCATAAACTACATAAGGAGTCCAGAACATCACCTATAACGGAAAGCAGAATATCTATATAAATATAATATTTTTTTGTCGACAGACTTTTTTATTAATTTTTTTTCCAATACATTCGAGGATAGAGGCGCTACGTAACAGTTTAATCGCCGCTACTTACAACGTTAGATGATTGGACATGTGTATAAAAGGAAAATGAGAAAAACAAATCAGTTATTACTTTCATTGTACATGATCTTTGAAGAAGGAAGAAAATAAATTTATTTGCAAGTTAATTGTAATATATCTTGAATTGGCCTGATTATTCGAAGCCATAAAATTAAGAAGAAGAAGAAGTTCTGACACTTAGCTACGCCACAAGTAATTTAAGGAGCAGAAGACTGCTCTTTCTCTCTCTCCCTCTCTTATTCAGAATTTAACAAATCATATCTAATTTTAAATTAAACTCCATTAAAATAAGGATCTATATACATACAGGTCAATTTATGTTATGTAGTGCTGATATTTTGGTCAAATTCAAAATTAAATCACAAAATATAATGTAAACACTACACACAAAAAATTGCACTCACGTTTTTAAAATAATTCATATCCCCACAGCACCGAAACTTTCCTAAAAATTTAGTAAATATTTACTTGCAATATTTATTAATTGCAATGTTTATTGAAAGTTATGTAAAGATTTAAATGTCCCACTTGAATAAATGTTTTTCGCGAAACTTTCCTGAACATTTACATATGCGTCACATATAAGGATGCATCTGCGTGCTCAAATGATGTCACGCCGTGCTATAGTTAATCGACACGCGTGCGAGCGAAATGTCTATCAATGTGCATGTATTCTTGCTATCTGGGTTACTACGGAATCCGAACGTAGATATTGCGTTTATTTATTGAGTCAGAAGTCTCTCGTTTGAAAGTTATTGCACGCAGCTACTTAAAATTAGCAACAGTAATTTAATTAAATAATCATGAAAAGTTTATCTAAGAACCTTAATATTTTATAAAAACTTGGTTTTTTTACAGTTGTACTTGATACAGACAGCTTTACATTTATTTCTTAAGAGATAGTCGCAGAAGTTATAGCGTTTTAATGGAAACTTTGACGTTCGATTTTTCAAAGATTCAATTTAAGTGAATTCATTATTGATAAAGACAATCATTTTCAAATTTGTTTGAATCTGTTTTGCCGAAATAAAAAGCGCGATCAATACGAATTTGAAAAAGTAAATTAATTTCAATTCCTCTAAATTTGTTGTTTTGCTCGATGACTTTGAAATAGACGAAATTCCAACATCTTATAGTGTCTTAATCGATGAAATATTCTCAAGCTATGCATGTGTAAATTTTTTTCATATAATATATGTGGTTAAATAATTATCCGTTCGTATTTTGAAGTAAATTGTAAGTTGCGTAAGATATTCTCAAAATCTGTTGATAATAAATTTTATTTTATATTATCAAAATATTATTTTTACGAGATTGTTACACATAATCGATCGTATTTTTATAATATTAGCTTTCGCCTGCGGACGACAAGTATTTTTAAATATTTTTACACTGCAAATACAAATTTATATTGTCTACCATTGAATTTTACATTGTCTTATTTATCTATTTATCTACATTCGCACTGTAAAAATATCTAAAGATGCTTGCCTTCTATATGGGTGATTCTACAAACAAAGGACGAAAATGAAGAAAATATGGACACAACATTTTTTTCTCATTTAAGGTCTGAAAAGTACTTTAACTTCATGTTAATGACACTAAAAAAGATATCTGAAAGTGGCCAGACAAAATATTAAAAATTACAAAAGTTATATGGTTGTTTATAAACAATTTATCCAGGAAATTAAGATCGTGTATTAAAATTCACATTAACACAGAAAATAATGGATGGATTTATACAAAATTTATTACTCGGGGTTTTTCGGGGTTGCTGATTACGAATCCGAGGTCAGTTTTTCAAAATTCAAAATGGCGAATCCAATATGGCGGACAAATATTTAAAATCACTGGAAACTACTTACTTGGTAACTTTGTAGGGTCACTGATAACGATTCCGACGTGAGTAAATTTTAAATACAGAAGTTTTTGAATTATTAAAAACTAATCTAAAGTCCAATTTTTAAGATATTTCTTTAAAATAGTCAAATTTTGAAAATCTGTCTTGAAACTCGTAATCTGGTAATTCTAAAAAAAAAGTATGGAATGAAACATTTTTTGCACGTATAATTTTGAGAAACAGGTTAATTTAAATTAATAAGTTTTCTCAAAATTCGTTCGCCATATTGGATCCGCCATTTTGAATTTTGAAAAACTGACGTCGGATTCGTAATCAGCAACCCCGAAAACCCCTGAGTAACGAATTTTACAAGGATCAATAAAAGGTATCGCTTTAATTATTAATTTGTTTATATAATTTTTTAAAACAAGTTACGTGTGTTCTACTAGAACATAATTTTTCAAATCACAAATCTGTAGGAGTACTTTAAGTGTGTAATAATAAAAAATATTTCGATTTTATTGTGATATTCATACGATGCACAGGAAAAAAGTACTTTTTATTTGTTTATTTATATTAATATAATTATATATACAAAATGAAAATTAAAGATTGGGGTTTAGCAATATCTTAAAAATTTAGTGAGGATTATTTTAAGTCAAGAAAATCGAAAATTGTTCAAAAATGATTAGTTTTACGCTGTTTTTTGTGCTTAATGTATATCCTGTCTCAAAAGTGCCAGACGAATGAGAATTTGGCAATGTTGATTACAAATTGAGAAATCTTGGTTAATAGAATAACAGATTAAATAAAACGCGCGTGATATCACATTTAGTTTAGTTTAATTAAGAACAATAACGAACTGTAACTCCATTAGAATGTTGATTTTTAATAATTTTAACGTGTTTTCATTTGCCAGACGAATGATAACAAAATCCAGGGACAAAATTCAAGAAGATATTTTATAAATAAGGTATAGAGTAATGTCATAATTATTTCCATATTAATAATCTACAACTATTCAAAATTCTTAATACAGTATGAATTTTCCGCCAAACACTTGAAAAATAATATTTTTTCACAATATGAACTGTCAATTACACTGCGGGACATGACAGACGAATAAGAATTTAGCACTTTGATGTGTATTTTTTGCAAGAAATATTTTTTTTCATCGACTGCTTTTTAGTGCCACAATAGAAACCATTTAGATTTACAATTTTTATCAAAAATAAAATTATTTTTTTCAAAATTAATATACAAAGTAAGCTTGACTGCTCATAATTCCCTCGTTTGTAGAATCACCCATATACGAAAGTTAATATTACAAAAGATATGTCGAAAATGAATCATGAATTTAAGAATTTTAAATTATTAAAATTACATAGTACTACAAAAATTGATTCTATTAAATTGAAATAATTTTTTTAATAAAGAAAACCTTTTTTAAAACAAAGAATTTATTTCTTTGATTTAAAAAAATGCGTTTAAACAGAGGTATTTTACTTTAAGCAAAAGAAAAAAAAAATTTTGTTGAACCTTATAGAAATGCCCAAATTTCTTTGATTTAAACAGGATTTCTTAGATTAAAAAAAAAATATTTTCTATGTATAATAGTAATTGATAATTGTACCTGGATAAAAGTGCCGTATGTCATAGGAATAACAGATCCACTCATTAGAATTATCGGATTGCTTGCACGTATACAGATTAGAAGAAGACCATGTTTTGTGTTTTTTGTTAGTAATGTCCAATCCATCATACTCATAACATTTGCCAGTTTCAAACTCTGGTTTAAAATAATATATTATAAAATAATATGATATAATATGAATATGAATATATATATATAGTCCTACTCTCTAAATCTGAATCAGTCATATTTTACTGATTAGCAGTAGAATTCTACTAATTGCCATAGCGAGAATTGAGCAACTGACAATTAGTAGAAATTTACTGATTCAATTAGTAAAATATCAATTACTGATTGAATCAGTAATATAAATATTTGGCGGCGGCCACAAAATCTACTAATTTAATAGTTAATTTTAAAGGTTATGTTATATACAAATTACTAATTTACATAAGTTATTTTCTATTGCTTGCATATTCACTAATTATATTAGTAAATTTCAAAAAATAACTGAAACTTCAGTTAAAATGAAAAGTACTAATTGAAATAGTAAAATTTCAACTGATTCAAATTTAAAGAGATAGCGGATTGTGTGATCTAGTTTGGTCTGAGGCAAAATATTGTAATAAATTAATGAAATAAATTATTAATAGTGCTGAAAAAAAGTATTAAAAAAGTTGATTTGTGGAAAAATTTAATTAAATTAAACTTTTATTAAACACTAATTAATAATTACCCACATAGCACGACTTCTTGCTATGAGATAAAGATATCTGTAGGGTTTGTAAGGTTACCGTGTAAGCCTACAATAAAGTTGATGTCATCTTAAAACTTCCGCCATTACAGTAAGCTTACACAGTAAAGCTAAGGTAAGATTACACAGTAAGGTCATAGTAAGTTTACATGGTAAGGTTGTGGTAAGCTTACATAGTAAGGTTGTTGTAAGCTTCCCGTAGGGTTACTGTAAGGTTGCTGTAAGGTTGCTGTAAGGTTACTGTAAACATAGAATGTTATTACTAAAGAAATTTTATTAATATTTATGCGCAGTAGTTTTCTATGGCACATACGGCTGCGCAGTAAATTTTATTTAACAAACCCTATTGGAGTGCATGAAGTACTTTACCAAATATATAAATTTTTTTAAAAAAAATCATAATGTAATATATATTATAATATAATTATTTTTATATATTTTCATATTACTCTATGTTTACAGTAACTTTATTTGTTTGTAAAATATTTTATTTTTTACTAACAACAAGCATCCCAAAGCCCTATATGAAGTATTTTTGTTCAATTTTTGGTTAAATAACAATAAAAAATGAAATATTTTACAAACAAATAAAGTTATCGTAAATCTAAATTAACCAATTGAAAGTTAAGGTAATTTCGCATTCAACGAGCCCTATATGAAGTATTTTGGATAAGTAGATTGTTAATAAACAATTGCAATGTTAACTAATTGTTTATTAACAATCTACTTATCCAAAATACTTCATACAGGGCTCGTTGGATGCGGAATTACGTTAAGTTTCAATTGCTAACTTCAGAATTACGGTAACTTTATTCGTTTGTAAAATATTTCATTTGTTATAAACATTAATCAATTAATTAATTAATATCTCAAAAACTTTAAAAGATCCCACTCTGAAAATTACATGTTTTGTAGGAATTTAGTCAAGCTTTCCATTGAGATAGTTAAAAATAATTTTAAAAAATCCGATTTTGAGATAAACGTAAATTAACATTTTGACCTTGAATTTCAAGGTCAAATGTTATTTAAAAAAAATTGTATTAACAGCGTGTAGCCCGTCAAAAAAGCTTTAAAAATCATTATATATATGTTAACTTTTCTGCATTCTACTTATAAATATTGTACATTGAAAAAAATCGTTTTTTTCATGAGTCAAAAATTAAAAACGTTGTAATTCAAAAACTATTTTATTAAATTCAATAATAATTGATTTTTAGACTTTCACCAACAAGAACAACATTTTAGAAAAGTATGGATTAAATTCGAGAACTTTTAATTTTTTGTTCGGACATTTCAGGAATTTATGTTAAACTTTACATTGAGTTCATTCAAAAGATAATTTAAGTGATTTGTAAAACAGGAAGACACCATACACATGATATATATATATATATATTGTAACGTATTTTTCTTGACTCTAAAATTACTCTCCAACTTGATTTTTAAGTTTTATTATAACAAACGACAAATAATTCTAATTATCAAAATTACTAAACTTGGACGAAACTGGATTCAAACTTTAATGCAAAGTGACTCGATTCTGAAACTTAATTTATGTTACTTTAAATCTCAGAAAAATCAAATAACAAAATAAGCAAAACGTTACTGTGCGACTTAACTTTTTATTCTTATGGACGATCCCCGGTATGGAAGGGCGCCAGACAACTTTTGTATCGCCGGTATTGTCAACAGGACTAAACTATAATCCAAATCTCAAATAAACAAATCTCAAACTTATAACTAATAAAATATTAATTAAGATCGACCAATAAGAATTATTAATTAAGTCTTCTATACGTGCCGGTGCTAGTCAGTTATGCAGGTCGTGGAGAGAGGGATGGGTTTTTATAATAAGAGAGTTCATGATAACAATAAATAATTCATAAACAAAAATTAGAAATAAAAGAAATGTTACATTTTATTAAATAAATCATTGACATTGATTAACTTCCTTATGACAATTTAAACCGCTCTTACGAAACTTTATTTATTATTTTTATAGCAATGGTAATAACAATTTAAGTTGAATAATGAAGATTCTTACTAAAACAATTACATGAAATTTAACTTACAGTTATGTTCCGTGATGATGGTTGGACCCATGGTAGAAAAACGAGTTATTGCAAATAGTTTGAAGTAAATTGAACTTATTGTTGTTAAACTTTAATAATGTTTTATTAGAGTTAATTTAAATTTATTAATATGACTGTAACCACAAATGACTGTAACTTGAAACACATGATCGAAAAACTATTGAAAATTAAACATGTTGACTCGATGGGGGTTGGGTGGCAAGAGAGATTTTTAAAACTAAAATTCTCAATTTACTATAAATTGACACTAGATGACGCAACGATTTTCCTACTCAAAAATAGAATGATTCAAAAGTTTAGTTGCGAGTGGTGCAATTGTGACGTCAATCACAAAAAATAACGTCACAACTCGCCCCAACCGAAAAAGATTACTGAAGATACTAAAAAAAGTTATTTACTTTATTTCTCTAAAATCGGGACACCAACTAACTGAACTTTAACCAAAAATGGCAAAATATTTTTCAAAAACTATTAACCGTGACTATTATACAAGGTGCACTCCCGGTACTGAGCTAGTGCTCTGGAGATAAACAAAAATTTTAAACTCTTACCAACAAGGGAAGTGATATTTCGAAAAAACTAATACTAATCTAGAAATTACACAGCCACACAAAAAAAAGTACCCGGGCCGGGGAATGAGACCACCATTTCTTGATGTATTTTGATGCGCTGAACACGAATCTGAAGTCCGTTTAGCTCCATCACGTCAGGATTTTGACATAACCTCAAAAAACATAGCTGATTTTAAGTGACATGAGAAATTTTTTAAATAATGGCAGATTTGCTTGAATCTTGTTACTCGGGGGTTTTTGGGGTTGCCGATTACGAATTTAACGTCAGATTTATAAAATTCAAAATGGCGGATCCAATATGGCGGACGAATTTTTAAAAAGTAGTTGGATTTTTACGAAAATTGGTATCTAGGGGTTTTGGGAGTCGCTGATTACGAATTTAACGTCAGATTATTCAAATGTAAAATGGCAGATATAGTACGGTGGTCAAATATCTTTATGTTTCTACATGTGTCTGCATCGAGGGCACCTCCACGTGGTGACGGTGGGCAACGGAGTTTGTCCGCTATCCGGCTAAGTTCCTGGATAATGGCTTTGATGCCCTCATGGCAGACACACGTAGGAAACGTATTACAATGCAGGGACTCGGAACCCCAGTATCGGCGGTTAAGCAGGCTCTCAGGCGTCGTCATCGAGCAACTGCAGCTCTTCATTGATGGGAAACTTGGCTAATGTAGAGTATAATACGACAAGAAAACAACCTGATATAGACTTAAACTCTCATATTTGTAGCAAAAATCGAGACCTTTTTTGTTATATTTGCAGTAAATTCGAGGTAAAGTCTTTGCGGAACAGGATTGACGAAGAAGTACGTAAACTGTATAATGAAATCTTCGGTTTTGAGATTGATCAGATGTCACTGATGTAACGGTGACATACGAAATTTTATATTTATTTTTAACACTGAAACCGTTTATTTCATTCATACAAAAGTAGCAATCTTCTTCACATGTAGGTTTTGTCCAAACTGTTGGATAAGAGTATTTGATAACTCCTTATTTTTAACAGATTTCCAACCAAAGATCATCTTTCTGCAACAATTACAAATGATGTTCGGAACCCAATAGAAGATAGATCAATCTCAAAACCGAAGATTTCATTATACAGTTTACGTACTTCTTCGTCAATCCTGTTCCGCAAAGACTTTACCTCGAATTTACTGCAAATATAACAAAAAAGGTCTTGATTTTTGCTACAAATATGAGAGTTTAAGTCTATATCAGGTTGTTTTCTTGTCGTATTATACTCTACATTAGCCAAGTTTCCCATCAATGAAGAGCTGCAGTTGCTGGATGACGACGCCTGAGAGCCTGCTTAACCGCCGATACTGGGGTTCCGAGTCCCTGCATCGTAATACGTTTCCTACGTGTGTCTGCCATGACGGCATCAAAGCCATTATCCAGGGACTTAGCCGGATAGCGGACAAACTTTGTTGCCCACCGTCACCACGTGGAGGTGCCCTCGATGCAGACACATGTAGAAACATAAAGATATTTGACCACCGTACTATATCTGCCATTTTACATTTGAATAATCTGACGTTAAATTCGTAATCAGCGACTCCAAAAAAACCCCATGATACCAATTTTTGTAAAAATCCAACTACTTTTTAGAAATTTGTCCGCCATATTGGATCCGCCATTTTGAATTTGAATAATCTGACGATAAATTTGTAATCAGCGACTCCCAAAACCCCTAGATACCAATTTTCGTAAAAATCCAACTACTTTTTAAAAA